GGTGCTTACACAGGCTGCGTGGTCGCTTGTGAAGCGAGAGCAGAACCATGGTATGGAGGAGGAACAAGTATTTGTAGGCTCGAAAATCGGTTTGTGCGTCGCTGCTCGGAGATGTTGAGCTGGGATGTGCCGGGAGGTGTTAGTGCTTTGCTGCACCCGGTACAGGGTCAGGGTCTTGGTTGTAGCGTGTGCACGTTTGCTGTGTCTTGGGTTTTAAACCTATAGTGCTTGTCTAACCGTGTGCTCTGAGACATGCTTTTTTTTTCCCACCTGCAGACGTGTGGTGCGCAAATCCATTGCCAGAGTCTTAACTGTTATCAATCAGACGCAGAAGGAGAACTTGAGGAAGTTTTACAAGGTAAATCCAAAGATCTTGTAGAGCGGCCTTCTTTCTCTTCCTGTTTTCAAATACATAGTTTGTAGGAAGGAGCTAAGGTTCTGTAGATTGTTACTTAAAAGCTTAAACACAAGGAAAGAATACTCATTTATGTTCAATTTTAAGGTTTGTTCCTTTTTTAAATGTTATTCTGAGACTACCCTGAGTTCTGTAAGGTCGGTGTGACTGCTTTTACCAGGAGAGTCTCCTTCTCTGGTCTGTAGTGTAGTTTCAGAAATGCAGATACTCTCTTTCCTAAATTTTAATCATGTTGCAGGTGACCAAGGAATTCTTTTATCTTAATAAGTTCCTATAATTTTGAGATTATTATTTCTTGGGGTTTGAATTATGTAGAATGGTGGGGAAAAAAAGAACTTTTGAAGAACTGGGACTTGTAAGGTTAAGGATTACTTCGACCTGAGTCAAGGCTAGTACAAGTGGTACAAGTTAGAATGAACTCCTGCCTCCCTGGGAAGAGGAGTTCCCTTAAACGTTTAGACTGTAACGATAGTCCCAACAAAAGAAGCCTCAAGCGCTGCTGCTGCTGCTGCTGCTCTTCCAGGCAGCTCTGCTCTCCGTGAGCTCGGGTGCCTGGTCGCTGCCTTGCAGTCTCTTACACTCGGCTGTTATGCGTTTTTGCAAACAGGGCAAAAAGTACAAGCCTCTGGATCTGCGGCCGAAGAAGACTCGTGCCATGCGCCGCCGGTTGAACAAGCACGAAGAAAACCTGAAGACCAAAAAGCAGCAGCGGAAAGAACGTTTGTACCCTGCCCGGAAGTACGCCATCAAGGCGTGAAACGGGGGGTGCCCAGAGGGCTTGATTCTGCTGGCTGAGTCTGTGTCATTAAACAGAGTTGTGTTGGGAAGCTGTCAGTGGTGGTTATTTTGGTAGTGGTGGGATGAAGGAGTCGTCAGCTTTGTGGAGAGCGGTAGAGGATTCACAGAAAGTTTATTTGAACTTTATTGCTAATGAAAATACTAACAACGTGGAGCTTAAGATTATTTTTCTCTTTGAAGAACAGGCAGATGAGTACAGATCTGGGAAGCTGGTTCAGCTGAAGGTAAAAAGTATTTAACTTGAGGTCGATTTGAAATGGAAACTTGACCGATGTTTACAGCGAGTCAGTGTTCATCGCTTCGGTAGCTTAAGGGTAAGTGTTTGATGTCTCGTGCCAGTGTTTGGTGTCGCAGAGATGGACTGATGTGCTGAGGGTGTGAGCGGGCCTGGCTGAAGCTGAAGGGTTCTGCCAGCCCTTGTTTCGTTCTCTGCACGACTGGCTGAGCACCAAGGAATCCCTGGCTTGACAGAGGCCTTAGGTAGCGGTTTGCCTAGCTGAGCTGCCCGGCCCTGCTAAGTGTTTGATGTCTCGTGCCAGTGTTTGGTGTCGCAGAGATGGACTGATGTGCTGAGGGTGTGAGCGGGCCTGGCTGAAGCTGAAGGGTTCTGCCAGCCCTTGTTTCGTTCTCTGCACGACTGGCTGAGCACCAAGGAATCCCTGGCTTGACAGAGGCCTTAGGTAGCGGTTTGCCTAGCTGAGCTGCCCGGCCCTGCAGGCAAACCCCCCCGGGCAGGCGGCTGGCCG